TCAGGCAAAACCTAGTTCTATTATCAAGTTGAAGTATTTTGTCTGTTCAAGAAAAAGTCATGACTGGCACCTGTGTGTCTCACACATGCTTCTCAACCAAATCAAGCACGTTTAATTAAAAACCATGTACACTTTTGTGTAAATAATCAGAACACTAAAACAATTCAAAATACTGCTTTTCTATGTACTTTAACGACCCATACTTCAAGTAAATTATACATGCCCTGGACTTTTGAGTAGATTTTAAGATTAAGACAAAGCAATGAATATTCAACATTTCCATCTACTTGGCAACTCTGCATTACATAAACATGCACCAGCAACAAAAGTAGTTTTTCTTCATATGTCTCACTTATTACCCAAGCACATTGGCAAAAGTGTACAGGCAGCCACAACGTCCTCCTCTTTTGTTTCCATTAGCCTCTAGGATTCGTTTAATGTCAACTTGGTTGATTGTGAATCCTTTCTCATTTGCTTAGAGGTAAAAGATTTGTTGAAGTTCATTGGTGGAATAATCAATGAAGACGAATTTTCTGTAAATTCTAGATCTCAGTCCTGGATTGACATCAAGAACCTTGGCCATTTTCTTCTCATATCCAGCAAATATCATGATGGGATAACCATCCTCCATTACGGCCATAAGTTCCTCGATTGCCGCTTGGCCAAAATCTTCACTAGGGATAAGGTGATAAGCCTCGTCCACAAACAAAACCCCACCCCAAGCTTCATCAGTCTTGGCACGTGTTTTTTCCGTAGTTGACCTGAGGTATTGGCCAACTAGGTCTGATCTTTGCAACTCTATTATTTTGTTTCTTTTAATCTTCCCAATGTTGAAGAGCACCTCTGATAGTAAATGCACACTAAATTTGAAAACTGCGAGTTTCAAGGAAGTCATTCCCTATTCATATTTCGTCTTGTTACTCAAAATGATAGAAGCGAATAGCCGAGGCCCAATATTTGTAAATTCAAACATGACCCCAAGGCTTTCTGGTCATTTTTCTACTTTATAAATCGTTAAATGATAGATTATTAATCAAGTATTATATATATCAGTTATATATGTTAAACCATCTACTGCAAAGTTTGAAATCCCAATAGCAACAGTTTAGCATCTCTCATTTGAAATGGTTTCTACAAAGCAGGAAGAAGGGTCTTTTTAGCGCAAAAGATCGCTCGCTGAGATTGAAGTATGTGTAAAACATAAAGCGAAAGCTCAAGGAAAGGCCTGATTTTTGGAGCAAAGATGTAGCTTTTTACTTAGATGGAGTGTCCTTAGTTTACAAAAGTAATCCATTGAGCACAGCCAAACAACCAAAAGCCCGGGTTTGGCGACAACAAAGATCTTGCGGGAGACAAAAGACCACATGCTTTAGTAGCTACAAGTTATGGCAAAGGTGTCGTTCTTCGTTAAGCCTATAAAACGATGAACAGTATTTTTTTTGCTTCTTTTGTAAGAGAAAAATTTTCTAGGTGTTTTTTAAGAGCATGTAGAGAGAAACGTCGTCTTTTTGTAATAGACAACGATCCATCTCAGGTTTTGAACCCCGCAAAATTGGTGTCAAAGACATCCATGCCGAGTTCCACCAAATTCCTCCTTGGAGCCCGTGCTTAAATCCTGTTGAAAACATTTGCCATATTGTTAGGAAGATGCTAGAACAAGAGGCCATTCGTCTTCAAATAGAACACGAAACTTTTAATGATTTTAAAACCAGAGTGATGCGATGTTTTGATTCAATACCTACAGATCTCGTAGATCGCACGATAAGAAGCATGCCTATGCCAATCGAGCAAATTATTGCTTCAAAAGGTGCAAGAATCAAGTATTAAATGTAAACTCAACAAGCGATGTTAGTGAAACTTAAGCACGTTTTTGCATTAAAGAAAGTCCATGTGAAAACGTTCTGCGTGGCTAATGACCATCATCTCAGTGCAATAAATTTGCGATGCTCCATTGTCATGCAACGCATTTCTCCACTGGTAAATTCTGTAAAAACCAGAAATCTTCTCCATGGTGACAGACATTTTATAAACAAATGAAGATATTTTGGTTTGCAAACACGATAAGTTTACGCCGAATGAAAGAGTTTACTTGTAGAAGAAACCGCCAAATGTTGTCATCTCCACTGTAATGTTGGTAAAACACTTTACTATGAATAACTCTATTTTAAATATGCGATGCAGCACTGTGTATTTTCTAACTTTTCTCCTTGTAAGAGAACTATTGTCTCAAAGACCTCGAGAAAATAACTTTTTCATCAAAGTTTTGTGTTTAACTTATTGTTTAACAGTCTACGTCTAGTAAAAAAAGGAACATTTCTTATGGAGCACTGTTGAAAATCCGTCATGTCACGTGAGTGAATTTCTTAACGGAGGTAAGGGAGATAAGAAAATATGTGGCCGTTTCATTTGATATCGATAATAAGTTTTGCAAAACATCTCGGACAGGGAGCGAGACATACTTGATCCTTTTCGTGAATTTGCTTCCAGAAGTGAAAGAATCGCCAACGGACTGACATCATTTGAGTGTTGGCCTGATCAATGGACCAACCCTTTATTAAGACTAATGGAGCGTCTGCCGTGGCCAAGAATGGCGTGTCCCTTGTGAATTCAGTGTCTTTGTTACAGAAGTACTGGAAGGTGAACGAGATCATCTTCTAACATTTGCAGGAAATCTGACCAAGGAATTATAGAAGCACTCCAGTGAAAGTCGTTCCACACAATAATCTCCGACTGTTTGGCTCTCACCCAAGCAAAAGTACCCGTTGCTGGGTTACAGAAGGCTTTCTAGATACATCTCAGAGGTGTTAAAATGAAAGATTTTCCTGCATTTGCTGTTCCGTGGATATAGATGTTGCAATATTTTCCCCTTCCTTGATAAAGTGCTATGTAAACGGAACGCCTGAAACACCATAACCCCAAGAGGCGTCCAAGTCTGGCAATTCGGGGAAAGCAGGAAGAGGGTACGGAAAATGGGGAGAAGAAGAGGAGAAGCTTCTTGTGCAGTTATGGTGTGACAAGCACACGAGGCTAGAGTCGCGGCACGCGAGACAAGTCTGGGAGGAGATTGCTCAGGAAATTTCGAAGATCCGAAAAGTTACCAGTGCCCTATGCCAACGGAAAATGAAATACCTTAAAGATAGGTATAAGGAGGCCAAAGACCACAACTGTCACAAGACTGGGGGCGAACGAAAAACCTCGCCATTTTATGACGAGATCGACTCTGTTCTTGGATGTCGTGACATCGTGACATTCAGTCACATTGAAGAATCTGCGCCAGGATCTTCTTCGAGTTCCCCTAATTCAAATGGAAAGGAGGGAGGACCAGAAGACGATGAAACTGTAGACGATGAAGAATTCGAACAGTCTCTCGACGCCTTTGGTCTTAAACGAAAGAAGGAAAGGAAGAGTCAGCGCGCCAAAGGTGCAAAAGCTCCGCACAAAGAACGAGAAGAAGGCGATACTCTTTTCCGCGAGAGTATGAGGAAGTTGCAGGAGCAGGGAGACAAAATTTCTGGGGTGCTGGAATCAATGGAAAGAAATCAAGCGCAGCAGCTCCAGCTCATGAATCAATTTATGAACAATTTTATTCAAGCAATGCAATCATCAAAGGACAAGTAGTGATTCAGAACAATTATCTCTTTGATGTAATAATTATTGCGAGGTTCCCTTTTCTCTTAATTTAAACAATTACATATTGTTGAGTGATTCGAAATGTGATTGAAATTGTAAATGTTACTGTTTTTGAATCTTATAGTTTCATTACATCACTAAAATTGGTCTATCTGTAAGAGTTCTATTGATGAAAAATGTCATTGAGTAATAGCAATCACTTAGAATCTTTCTGTTTTGATTTTGTAAAAAAAAATGAACTTGATTAAGTTTTTTTTAATATTGTCAACAATAACTTTGCTGTATCGTATCGGTGACTTTTTCGTTCCTTTGCTAAATTCTTCATTAAAATTATAAGCTATATTCTTATCTATAATTTTGAATCATAGAAATACGAAAGTGTTAAACAATTAAATAATTCATTTAACTGAAACAGCATTGTGTCAATAATCTTTTTAAATCTTCCTTTCCTACAAATTCCAAAGATAATTCTTTAAAAAGTCTCTTAAATCCGCGCCATCAGCATTCCCATCTCGGACAGGAAAATCGTCATCATTTCCATCTTCATCATCGTCATCATCCCATAAATCTCCGGCTTCAATGCAAAAATTGTGGAGCACACAACATGGGATGATAATTTCGAATAGGATTTATTGTGATATTTTTATAAATAAGACTGTAAATAGGTTTTTAATTTATTCATATTTTATTACCAGTGGGATCTTTTTAATTTATTTTAATGTTATGAATTGTAAAGCGCTTTGGTCAATTAGTGGAGTTAGCGCTAGATAAATTATTTTATTATTATTATGATGATCTGATTGGTAAATGCTATATCACTATCAAGTCGTTTCTGGAGAATTCTCCAACGTCCTTTCAGTATACCAAATGCACACTCTACTGATACCCTTGCACGTGAAAGTTCTTTGTTAAAGTTGATTTCCTCTGGGTCATTCGTACCCTCGTGGTATGGTTTTAATAACCACGTAGAGAGGGGATAGGCACTGTCGCCTAGCAAAACGGGTCTAATCTCCCTCCCAGCAACTCTCACAGTTGGTCCGAGCAACAGCTCATTGTTGGTAATTCTTCGATAAAGTGAACTATTTCTCAAGACTCTGGAATCGTGCATGCTCCCTGGGAAGCCAGCGGCGATATCCAAAAATCGTTTTTCTCCGTCAGCTACCGCTTGGACAACAACATCGTGCTGCTGCAGTCGACTAAAATAATCAGGTCTGCTTCCCTTGGGAGTTTTGATTTTAATGTGTGTTCCATCGATGGCTCCTACCATGTTTGGGAGATCCGTTAAATCGTCAAAAGTTTCTCGAGTGGCCAGAACTTCTCTATTTGTCGAAGGAAACTTGATGTACTCATTTCTTAAGTCGCATAATGCTTCAACAACATCTTGGACCGCCTAAATAACTGTACTTTTTCCTACATTAAAATTTGGGCCTATCGTTATGTAGGAATTTCCATGCGCCAAGCGATACAGTCCCAATGCCAAAAGTTTTTCCGGTGTCACACAGTCACGCAAGTGCGTGTTTTGTCTTGTCAGGCGTGGGCGAAGAATATTCAATAGCACCGAGAACGTATTTCTGTTTAAGCGGAGCTGACGCCTAAAATAGTCTCCTGGAATTGTAGCATCAAAATAGTGTATGTCAAACCACGATTGCTGTGGGCTTGGCAAAACCCAAAAACAGGGAAAGCGACGTCCTCGACGCCTCTTTCGACGTTGGTTCCACAAAAGAAGTTGCGCTTGAAGTGCTCTTATTTGTATGAGCGAAGAAAGAAGAATGACTCTTTGAGCATCGTTAGCTGCATTTACGTTGAGAACATAGAAATAAAAACCTAGAGCGAACTGGCGCGGATTCATTGCGGTCGTTCTATTCTACACATTGAGCGGGAAATAATAATTTATGCGGTAAAATTAAAAAAAAAGCGCCAGAAGTGACAGGTCTTATGTTTACTTTATGTTGATGTCTCTGATGTTTGTCTCTACAGTGCGACCACAAAACAACAGCATTTTAATTGTCTCGGACAAGTTCTGAGACAAAATTGTCTGTGATATCTTCAGACATTTCAAATATTTGTCTCAAGTGCGACCCCAACCTAATAGTCAAAAATAAACGAAACAAAACAATGGAATGATAGTGTCCATGGTGTTTAACGGTTTCTAAATCAGTCTAAGCTGTGAGATAGCAATAAGGCAAATAGACCCTATCATATTAGACACTCAATATATACTACTTCCATTTTTTACGGGTTTTGCGAAAGCAATCTAACATCCTGGGCATCCTGATCACTGATGAGTTTATTCCTTTTTCAATCTCCGTTTCAATCGCCTTTCAACAGTTATGCATTTATTTCGTATAATTCGTCCCCAATCACACCTGGCTTCTTTGCTCATTTTGTCTTGCTTTTAGTCATAAAGAATGGCACTTCTTAGCATACACTAAAATATAAATGAAAACATCGAAAAAATAAAAAATACCTGAAATAAAAGCTTAACGCTAATAGCGTTTGTATGACAGGACATTATCGGTTAGGAAGAAGAGAAAAAGCGAAAAACTGGGGAGAACGCATAGTAGATCATATATGATAATGATATTACAAACTATGAAAGTAGCGATTACTTTTTCGAAGAACTTGTTACTCCTTAGTCTGCGAACTGCAGACGTATTTCCGGTCATCGCTTCTCTCCCTCCCAAAAATGGCAAGGAATCTGGATTTCAGAAAGAATACACACCTATACATTGTATGTAAAAATTATATTAAAGTTATAATTCATGGCAATTTGTAAATACTGCTATAATTCAAAAGACTGTCTCTACTTTCACTTCAGTCATATTTTCATTGCTGCAAGATCAGATCAGTCTGCATCGCAGACAGGCTAAAAATCCTTGATGTATAAGACTTTAAGGTCTCAGTGACAATTTAAAGTAGACAGACAGACCAGATGACAGGGATAGTACAAAAAACTCAATTGACCCCAGAAATAAAACAAGAACTTTTTAGACACACTAAAAGAATGGGTCTTAAAAGTTGGACTTAAAAATAACATTAAATTTCATTCACAACACTGTAGCGGGCAGCAATAGAGAGGGTAATAAAGATTGAAAAACCTGCGCAGTGTAGTACTTATAAATGTTAATTTAAAAATTGTAAAACGGATGCTGTTATTGTGAGTGCATTAAAGCGATCCAAAGCACAGTACGATTTGCTTTAATCTCACATGAAAAACACACTTTGAAACGCGTAGAATTCAAGACTCGATTCGACGATTACGACCAACGCTTGCAATAGAAACGATAGTATATGAGCGATGGTATATGAGCTTATCTGTTTACAACAGTAAGTACTTGAACTTCTGCGTAGCTTGTATTAGACTTGTACCACAAGATGAGCTTCACGATTTGTACGGTTTCGAAAACTAAAACAAAAAGTAAATAACAATAAATACTAGAAAAACCTAGTAAAGAAAAAGGGCGAACTAAAAACTTATGTTTGTGTCCTCTATAACGTTGTAAAGAGAAACGATAACCGTAAAAACTACGTTCCGAAATTACAACTTCACCATAAGACATTTTTTTCCATCGAGCACATGGATTCTTTTTCTCATGACGCATTGCGAGGCAGCACGCCAAGGCGTGCGTGACATCACGGGTGTGCTACCTGAGTCACAACGTAATGGCAGTAACAGTTATTATAAGAATCTTAACTGACGTTTCGGCAATGCTGCCTTCTTCAGGGTATACAAGACTAAATGCAGTTAAAAAGTTCGTTAAAATTAGCTCACGTGCCTGGTGGCATACTCGCGCGCGTGCCACATGAAATAGCGCGCTACGGCACGCAAGTAGTAAGCAAAAAATGTATATATAAGGAGAGGGGGGGGTGATTCACGTGAAACTAAAGTCTTGTTTAAGGCCTTTAGGGCCTACAGTCCCATAATTGAATATCAACCTCATCTCCTGCTTCTTACGGTATTCCTGGTTGGCTAGGCCTGCCTTCAATACTGCAACCTTTATGTTCTCCATTGTATGATTATGATTTTTGTAATTCAGAAGATTCTGTCAAACTGGACACCTTAAATAGACGTATTTTAAGATTTGTTTTAAAGGACTGGGACTCGAACTATGATGCTCTTCTAGACAAGGCTGGTGTGTGTGGTTTAGCCAACAGGAGGATACAAAATATGATGATTTGTATATTCAAATGTCTCCATTTTGGTAAATATCCGTGCTATTTAAAACAACTGATCAAGTTAAGATCTACTGCTTACTCCCACATATGGTCTAAATTCCTTTAGCTATTCATCTGTTAAGTACTGGAATTCTCTACCTGATCACTTTAGAAAGACTGTAGATTAAAGTGAATTTAAGCGCAAATTGTTAGTGCACGGTTTTAGTTAATACTACATTAATTAATATAATATTATATATGTTGTAACTTTTAAAATTAGTTAGGATCGGAGATACTAGCTATGTAAGCTACACTAAAATCCAAGGATAAATAAAGTTTATGTATGTGTGTATGTATGATTTGGTCGGTTGAAGTAGGCAGGTACAGGAAGGTTATTCCTCCTGTTGATGATATCTCTGCGGTGTTCTCGAAAATGGTCTGCCAACCTGCGTCCAGTGTCCTCAATGTACACTATCGACGTACACTTGGTGCGCGACAAGCAATAAACTATGTGTTCAGTGATGCAGGAATAATGTCCCGTGATGTAAACATGCCCTTTGGGTGTTGTAATTGTGGATGATGAATTAACATGGGGACATGTGCGGCAAACAGTCCTGTTACAAGGGAAAGTACCTGGTGATTGGTGTGGAGGATTTTGAGGGAGTCTGTTTCTGACTAATAGATCCTTCAGATTCTTGGCACGCCTGAAAGCCTTCAATGGTGGTTTATTAAAGATCTTGCTTGTCCTGCTATCCTCGCAAAGGATCCGGAAATTCCTTGAGATTATTTTCTTGACAACAACGTTACTGGGAAGGAAGGTAGTGACAAAAGGTACTCTATCCTTAGCGATGTTGTTAGCAGTGACACTTCAAAATTTCAGCCCTTGATTTGGTTGATGCTTGTTCCCTTCCCGTTCTAATGAGGCCATTCGGATATCCGCGTGCTGCAAGGAAGATCTCCAATTTTGCTGCCTCAATGTCGAAGTCAGCGTCATCGCTACAGATCTTATGCAGTCTGAGAAACTGACTATAAGGTATGGATGACTTAGAACTGTAAGGATGGGATAAGCTGAAGATGAGGTGAGAGTGGCTATCCATGGCTTTGTAATGTATAGAAGTGGCTATGCGATTAGCTTGAGGCTTCATGCAGATATCCAGGAAAGGAATAGAGAGGGTAAACCTAGTGTGATTTGCCGATGACGACTTCCAGTTCCTCACCGTTGGTCAACAAAGCATTGCTGCTGGTTAAGCATCACCGCATACACGGTTTCTAGCCCGTTATCACGGTCACGCGCCACGTACGCCCGTGGCCGAGGTCTTGTTCAGTTGTTGCTTGGAAGTTCGAGGATATGGAAGAACATGTACACCTCTGTTACTACTAATGGTATCTTGATTTATTCGTTTTAACTGCCAAACGAGCATTCAAACAAGTGAGAGGCCCCAAGCTGGAAACATGCACTGAATATTATTAGTAACGCCGGTTCGTTCGTGATTTTCACGGCCAAGGTAATAAATTGTTTTAAAAGGAACCTCCAGTGATGTCTTTTGCTTTCCAGGGTTTTAATTTTGAAGATCCAAAAGTCCTTATTTGGTATCTACAGCGTTGTGCAGCGATGATGCAGCCTCAAGCATCGTTTTTATTCAGGTTGTCATATGAAGTGGTTTCAATGTTTATATCTAAGTCTCATTGCAGCTTTTAAGCAGCGGCCCGCAGTGCTGCTTTACTGCTGCTTTACCGTGGCAACATTTTGCAGCACTTCTGCAGTGCACAAAATGTGACGTTCTCAGCTTGAGCGACTCACAAGCACTGCTTTACAGACGCTTAAGCGCTGTGCAACCATAAAAGTGTACCGCTACAGCGCTGCGGCAGCGTTGGGTCGTTCGTACAGGAAATTCCTGGTCCAGATAAGAGTGACATTAACCCATCTAGTCTTCTTAGAAAGTTTTACCGCCATGTTGTAATGGAAACTACGGTCTTGGTGAAATCATCACTATGCCATTCAATGCAAACAACCCAGTGCAGAACTTTCGCCCTAGTTTTAGTTTTAAACGCAGACTTTTGCAATTGCAAAGCTCTCTCGAGAAGGAAATGCAGTCAAATTTGCCCGACTGTAGGTAATTAAGTAAACCTGCTTCTGTTGTCGATTGTCTAGCCTTTCCATTTTAAAGATAACACTTGTTCTGTGGGCTCTGTGTAAAGAGTGAGGTCATCAGGGAAAAGAACCGAGCACCCCCCTCCCCCCCACAAAAAAGAAAAACAAACATTTAAAGCTATTCATGGATTGGTGCCTAAGTATATCATAGAACTAATTAACCTAAGCCTAGGTCTATATATAATCTTGGATCAAATCAAAGTTTATTGCTAGACCCTCCTAAAGGGAAAATGCTTGTCACATTAGCTGACAGATCTTTCTCTGCTGCTGCCCCATATTTATGGAATAGTTTGCCGGCTGGATTACATGATACTCAATCATTAGCTATTTTTAAATGTAAGCTGAAAACTTCTTTATTTCGTGCAGCTTTTACAATATAACCTGTTTGACATTCACTTTATTAGTGTTACTAATTAAGTTTATTATCATTACAAATATTATATATTATTATTATTATTATAGATTGTTAATATTCATATACATGTAATTAGTTTTAAAAATTTGAATTTTATCACAGTTTTTTAAGTTGCTCTAGCAGATTTGTTTTTTCCTAACCTGTGTTTACCACAGATAACAGTTATCGGGAAGTGCTGGCCTTTTTCTAAGACTGATTGGTTTTGCATGCCTTATGCACTACCAGCTGGATTTGGTCATGTATTATTAATATACATGGATACTGTTTGTTTTTGGTATGTCGTGGGACCTGCAGCACATTTTCGACCAAATGATAATCGGAATAAATAGAAACCGTTTATTTGTATTTTACAGACTGAGCAGGCTTTGAAACCCCCCTCCTATACCATAAAAAAATTTCAGGTGTCGATAAGATTTCATGGATGAATTTTCTGTAGCAACGTTCCACCCATGCATGTATGTATTAATAGCTCATTCAATGACATCATTTACCGTATTTCTTCACCTATAAGCCGAGCGATTTTTTCAGTTTTCGACCCAAAATTTTGGGAGATTTTTCACGGAGAACAGGGTTTGGCTTGTAGCCAAGGGTTTTACATTTTAAAAATATACAGTTGCTGAATAACTTTACCCCCCCGGCTTGTAGTCAAGTTAGCAATGAAGCAGAAGTAATAAAACACAGCAAAAATAACTTCTGAATATTGGTTATTCACTTTTATGAAATTGGTGGCTCCTAAAGGAGCCGTTTGACGGATAACAAGGCTGGTGTGTGTGGTTTAGCCAACAGGAGGATACAAAATATGATGATTTGTATATTCAAATGTCTCCATTTTGGTAAATATCCGTGCTATTTAAAACAACTGATCAAGTTAAGATCTACTGCTTACGCCCACATATGGTCTAAATTCCTTTAGCTATTCATCTGTTAAGTACTGGAATTCTCTACCTGATCACTTTAGAAAGACTGTAGATTAAAGTGAATTTAAGCGCAAATTGTTAGTGCACGGTTTTAGTTAATACTACATTAATTAATATAATATTATATATGTTGTAACTTTTAAAATTAGTTAGGATCGGAGATACTAGCTATGTAAGCTACACTAAAATCCAAGGATAAATAAAGTTTATGTATGTGTGTATGTATGATTTGGTCGGTTGAAGTAGGCAGGTACAGGAAGGTTATTCCTCCTGTTGATGATATCTCTGCGGTGTTCTCGAAAATGGTCTGCCAACCTGCGTCCAGTGTCCTCAATGTACACTATCGACGTACACTTGGTGCGCGACAAGCAATAAACTATGTGTTCAGTGATGCAGGAATAATGTCCCGTGATGTAAACATGCCCTTTGGGTGTTGTAATTGTGGATGATGAATTAACATGGGGACATGTGCGGCAAACAGTCCTGTTACAAGGGAAAGTACCTGGTGATTGGTGTGGAAGATTTTGAGGGAGGCTGTTTCTGACTAATAGATCCTTCAGATTCTTGGCACGCCTGAAAGCCTTCAATGGTGGTTTATTAAAGATCTTGCTTGTCCTGCTATCCTCGGAAAGGATCCGGAAATTCCTTGAGATTATTTTCTTGACAACAACGTTACTGGGAAGGAAGGTAGTGACAAAAGGTACTCTATCCTTAGCGATGTTGTTAGCAGTGACACTTCAAAATTTCAGCCCTTGATTTGGTTGATGCTTGTTCCCTTCCCGTTCTAATGAGGCCATTCGGATATCCGCGTGCTGCAAGGAAGATCTCCAATTTTGCTGCCTCAATGTCGAAGTCAGCGTCATCGCTACAGATCTTATGCAGTCTGAGAAACTGACTATAAGGTATGGATGACTTAGAACTGTAAGGATGGGATAAGCTGAAGATGAGGTGAGAGTGGCTATCCATGGCTTTGTAATGTATAGAAGTGGCTATGCGATTAGCTTGAGGCTTCATGCAGATATCCAGGAAAGGAATAGAGAGGGTAAACCTAGTGTGATTTGCCGATGACGACTTCCAGTTCCTCACCGTTGGTCAACAAAGCATTGCTGCTGGTTAAGCATCACCGCATACACGGTTTCTAGCCCGTTATCACGGTCACGCGCCACGTACGCCCGTGGCCGAGGTCTTGTTCAGTTGTTGCTTGGAAGTTCGAGGATATGGAAGAACATGTACACCTCTGTTACTACTAATGGTATCTTGATTTATTCGTTTTAACTGCCAAACGAGCATTCAAACAAGTGAGAGGCCCCAAGCTGGAAACATGCACTGAATATTATTAGTAACGCCGGTTCGTTCGTGATTTTCACGGCCAAGGTAATAAATTTTTTTAAAAGGAACCTCCAGTGATGTCTTTTGCTTTCCAGGGTTTTAATTTTGAAGATCCAAAAGTCCTTATTTGGTATCTACAGCGTTGTGCAGCGATGATGCAGCCTCAAGCATCGTTTTTATTCAGGTTGTCATATGAAGTGGTTTCAATGTTTATATCTAAGTCTCATTGCAGCTTTTAAGCAGCGGCCCGCAGTGCTGCTTTACTGCTGCTTTACCGTGGCAACATTTTGCAGCACTTCTGCAGTGCACAAAATGTGACGTTCTCAGCTTGAGCGACTCACAAGCACTGCTTTACAGACGCTTAAGCGCTGTGCAACCATAAAAGTGTACCGCTACAGCGCTGCGGCAGCGTTGGGTCGTTCGTACAGGAAATTCCTGGTCCAGATAAGAGTGACATTAACCCATCTAGTCTTCTTAGAAAGTTTTACCGCCATGTTGTAATGGAAACTACGGTCTTGGTGAAATCATCACTATGCCATTCAATGCAAACAACCCAGTGCAGAACTTTCGCCCTAGTTTTAGTTTTAAACGCAGACTTTTGCAATTGCAAAGCTCTCTCGAGAAGGAAATGCAGTCAAATTTGCCCGACTGTAGGTAATTAAGTAAACCTGCTTCTGTTGTCGATTGTCTAGCCTTTCCATTTTAAAGATAACACTTGTTCTGTGGGCTCTGTGTAAAGAGTGAGGTCATCAGGGAAAAGAACCGAGCACCCCCCTCCCCCCCACAAAAAAGAAAAACAAACATTTAAAGCTATTCATGGATTGGTGCCTAAGTATATCATAGAACTAATTAACCTAAGCCTAGGTCTATATATAATCTTGGATCAAATCAAAGTTTATTGCTAGACCCTCCTAAAGGGAAAATGCTTGTCACATTAGCTGACAGATCTTTCTCTGCTGCTGCCCCATATTTATGGAATAGTTTGCCGGCTGGATTACATGATACTCAATCATTAGCTATTTTTAAATGTAAGCTGAAAACTTCTTTATTTCGTGCAGCTTTTACAATATAACCTGTTTGACATTCACTTTATTAGTGTTACTAATTAAGTTTATTATCATTACAAATATTATATATTATTATTATTATTATAGATTGTTAATATTCATATACATGTAATTAGTTTTAAAAATTTGAATTTTATCACAGTTTTTTAAGTTGCTCTAGCAGATTTGTTTTTTCCTAACCTGTGTTTACCACAGATAACAGTTATCGGGAAGTGCTGGCCTTTTTCTAAGACTGATTGGTTTTGCATGCCTTATGCACTACCAGCTGGATTTGGTCATGTATTATTAATATACATGGATACTGTTTGTTTTTGGTATGTCGTGGGACCTGCAGCACATTTTCGACCAAATGATAATCGGAATAAATAGAAACCGTTTATTTGTATTTTACAGACTGAGCAGGCTTTGAAACCCCCCTCCTATACCATAAAAAAATTTCAGGTGTCGATAAGATTTCATGGATGAATTTTCTGTAGCAACGTTCCACCCATGCATGTATGTATTAATAGCTCATTCAATGACATCATTTACCGTATTTCTTCACCTATAAGCCGAGCGATTTTTTCAGTTTTCGACCCAAAATTTTGGGAGATTTTTCACGGAGAACAGGGTTTGGCTTGTAGCCAAGGGTTTTACATTTTAAAAATATACAGTTGCTGAATAACTTTACCCCCCCGGCTTGTAGTCAAGTTAGCAATGAAGCAGAAGTAATAAAACACAGCAAAAATAACTTCTGAATATTGGTTATTCACTTTTATGAAATTGGTGGCTCCTAAAGGAGCCGTTTGACGGATGTGTGCAAGGGCTTTCAACCCAATAGTTTACTCGCCATCCGTTTCGTTTTGGCTGTCTGTCTCGAACTCGTTCTCTTCTATGTCTTCATCGTCTACTTCTGGGGTTTCCTCAGAGTAGACCACGTCGTCCTCTGTTCCGTCCAAGGCACTGGAAATACCGCAGGTCTTGAAGGATTTGACAACCATCTCTTGGGGTATCTCTGCCCATGCTTCCTTGATCCACCTGAGGACAAGATTTCTGCTTGGCGCCTTCTTCTTCCCAGCTGGGGTAAACTCAAATGGCCCAGATGTCATCCACGCCAAGTACTTTCGGCGCACATTATCTTTAAATGGCTTGTTTAGGCACTTATCCAAGGGCTGTACAACCGGGGTTAGGCCTCCAGGGATAACTGCGACGTCAATGTTTCGCTGCTTCAGGTCATCCTTCACGGAATCGGTCAAGTGAGCTCAGAATGAGTCCCACACCAAAAGGGAACGCTCGGCACGTGGCAAACTCTGTCGAATCCATTCTCGGATGCCCTGTTCATCCATCCACCCTTTCTTATGGAAGGAAACACGAAGAGGATGTGGCACAACCAGATCTCTCGGTGTACGGATGCCTTTGAAGATGACTTTCGGCGGCACCTTTGCTCCATCGGCAGCAACAGCAAGAACGATGGTGAAGCTCCGCTTTTCCGCTCCGCAAGATTTTACTGGCACTGTTCGGCTTCCACTGAATTCCAGTGTTTGGTTTGATGGCAGCTCAAAACGCATGGGTGTCTCATCCATGTTGTAGATGCAGGATAAAGGGTAGTTGGCGCGTCTTCTTGCTGCAATGATGAAGCGATGAAACTGCACAATGTTCTCTTCGAGATCGGCGGGCAATCGCCGGGCCAGAGTTATTTTGGTTCGCATGCTGACCGAGTGGCGTCGTTTCCATTTCTCGTACCATCCACGGGAAGCTTTGAAAGCAGGATCATCGGAGAGCTCTTTAGCTTTAAGGCAAAGCATCAATCCACTCACAGCAATACCTACGAAAAATAAAATATCAATCTTATTTTGCTGCAAGATAACCGTAGATTCGTGACTGCAGCACTCTTTTCGTGACATGTTATGAAATTGTCATGACAACAACATATTTCTGACCAATCAAAGTCTCTGTTTCCCACGCACTGAAAGACGATATCATTCAACTCTTCAAAAACTCTTAAAATTTCAGACAAAAAAGTAAATACCAACCTTGTTCTCTTTGCTGTGAAAACCACTCTATCACTTGCTGGTCTAGTTTGGGATATTTCGGAGTGAAACGGCCCATCGTCGCACGTTTTGCAGACATCTTCAGCTCCCCGGAAAGAATAGTCGCCTGGTCTCTTCTCCAGCGTCGTACCATGGACTCGCTTAGTCCATATTCTCGAGCGATTTCCGAGTTGTTTTCTACCGCTTCAGCTTCCGCGATAACTTTTATCTTGAAAGCCATACTATACGAGGAACGGCGTATTTTAGGCATGATGATAAAAAGTAACAGCGACGAAAGGGATACTCGATCGATTGATACTTTGAAACGTTTAACTGAGATTATTATTGTTGTTGTGGTTAATCTGTTGTCGCGTGGTAGTATTTATACAGTTCGTTGGATCAATTGATATTCATATCTCTTGATTGGTTCGCTTTTTTTCTTTTGTGTTTATTGTAATTCATTAGGTTTTGTGTTTAGTGAGTCAATTTCTTATGTTTTCCGTGAGGTTCGCTTGCTCAAATGGCCAGTTACAATCAATAATTTCGCTCTCGGCTTATAGCCGATGGTTTTACCTTTTTTTTTGGGCAGCTTGAGTCTAGCGTAAAGACCCTGACTTTCAGGGTCTCGGCTTATAGCCGAGATCGGCTTATAGGTGAAGAAATACGGTAGCCTTTGAGAAGCTATTGTTTGGTAGTTACTAATGACAAGTATATCATTGCCCAATTACCAATGTCCAGCAGTCAAAGCAACCTTTTTTATTTAGCTGTATCTCATGGATAAATTGGTTCAAATAAGTAAATAAAAGACACCAAAAATTCCACACAAACAACACGTTTTAATGCCATAAATCAGATGATTCCAAATCTGAGCTCAAAAAAAGGAAGCCAAATAATGTCTAGTATTAAAAGGGTTCGTCCAAATAAATTTTAAGGGATACTGTACTATGTAAAAAATTAACATTAATCTTCCAAGAGGACTGTCTGGTTTTTTGCACCTATTTTAACCTGCGTGCGAAAATTTGATGCTGTGATGCCCACCCACATGGTATGTTAGTTGCCCTGCTGGGGTCCAGAATAAGGATATCTTACCNTAATTTCGCTCTCGGCTTATAGCCGATGGTTTTACCTTTTTTTTTGGGCAGCTTGAGTCTAGCGTAAAGACCCTGACTTTCAGGGTCTCGGCTTATAGCCGAGATCGGCTTATAGGTGAAGAAATACGGTAGCCTTTGAGAAGCTATTGTTTGGTAGTTACTAATGACAAGTATATCATTGCCCAATTACCAATGTCCAGCAGTCAAAGCAACCTTTTTTATTTAGCTGTATCTCATGGATAAATTGGTTCAAATAAGTAAATAAAAGACACCAAAAATTCCACACAAACAACACGTTTTAATGCCATAAATCAGATGATTCCAAATCTGAGCTCAAAAAAAGGAAGCCAAATAATGTCTAGTATTAAAAGGGTTCGTCCAAATAAATTTTAAGGGATACTGTACTATGTAAAAAATTAACATTAATCTTCCAAGAGGACTGTCTGGTTTTTTGCACCTATTTTAACCTGCGTGCGAAAATTTGATGCTGTGATGCCCACCCACATGGTATGTTAGTTGCCCTGCTGGGGTCCAGAATAAGGATATCTTACCAGAATTAGATTACATGTAGGCCTGAACTATAATTTAGTTGGTCCTGATCTTCAACATTTGATAGCAGAAGTAAATAACTTACCCTTATTATCCTGCCCAGACTTTGAGCAACTACTGGTGCATTTAGACTTTGGTGCTCTGACCTGTCAATGATTCTTTGTAGTTCTGCAATCTTTCTTTTGGACTGGTTAAGTTCTTTCTTGAGCTCTTTCCATCTATCTCCCTCTTTTTTAAGCTTCCACTCCAATGCCACAACTTTACTATGTGGCACTTTGGAAAGCTTCTCGCTCTTTAAACAGCATTTGTAGGTTTGTCATCTCAATATTAAGCTTTTTGTAGTTGCTACAAATTAACAAGGAGAATGTTCCTTCGCCATTATAATCTTCATCGGCCCAGCACCATTGGGTTCCGTCTGCTAAACGGTTTTGGGTTTTTAGGGCAGTATGTTATTTTTTTTTTGGTAGCACAATACAGGTATTAAGTATCTCTTTTCACTAAATTTTTGGTACTGAGACATTTTGTCATATTTGGATGTACTTCAACACTGGTCCGGCCGGGGGTTCAACCCGCTACCTTCCACTTGGCAGGTGTGGAACCCGTCACTGTATTGAAGGTTTTACCTTTTGCTGCTGTTCAGCAAACAAGAAGTCAGAAACTGTTCTTTCTTTCAACAAAGCTGTTTGCAGGTACGGCAGACCACAGCGAATCCGTAGTGACCATGGTGGAGAGAATGTTTGTGTGGAGGGATATGACATCGGCTTGGGGAGAGGATGCTAGGTCTGTTATTGTTGAGGCCTTGGTACAATCGGAAGATGGAATGACATAACTGATCAGTAAATGAGCACGAGCCATCAGTTTTCAAGTCCAAATTTAATGACCTGGAAAGAAGAGTGGTGTTCTTTTCTCAGTGAATGAGACCGACCTATTTTGGGCTTCACTATGTCTACTAACCGTTCTTGAACAAGAGCCTCATGGAATTTGTTTGTGCTCATAACAATCACAATATTTCGCCAGAAAGTAATAACTACGGTGGCCCATATATGCCACATGCAAATATTTTTTTCCTGTACACAACACATTTTTTTATAGTGTATAAATGTATTTCTTAGTGCATAAATGCAGTAAATATCTCTCTATGCGAAGAGAATTTTGTCACTGCGCAAATATTTATTTTAGCACACAAAGCAATTCTTCTTACTCTGTCTCAACCAAGGGATTTGATGTTGGGGGTTCTTGTAAAAGAGGCAAATTCGTGGAAATGAGCTCATCAATATTTACACCCATCCATGCGTCATAGGAAATCATTGTTGCTCAAAATTGGCTGCACACGAAATACAACTTCTGATTGCTTTG